GTTTGTATAGATCATAAAAAGGAGAGTTTGTATCTATTTGTATATATAGGAGTTCTTAGAAGTAATATTAGAAGTAGATTTGTTAGAGAATATGAGGTTAGTAAGTGAGTTAGTTATGATTTTAAGAAATTTAGATCTGTGTTTGGTATTAATATAGCTGAGTATAGGATCATAGTATATTTTCTATAGTAGAGATAAGAAAGTTTCTCCTTACTCTATACCAGAGTGTAGAGAAATCAAGTTAGTAAGACCATAGGCTGTAATTACTCTAGCTTTTCTATCTTAGTATAAGTATTGGATGAAGTTGATAGTATTTTGAGAGATTCTAATTCTTTTGCAAATATCAGTAAAGTATTTGATATTGATTTTATCAAAAGATTTAGACATATCCTAGAAAATATCTATGCTTTTTTTGTTGTTTGTTTTATAGTATTCGATAGTGTTTAAGAGAATTTAAATTGGTATATGTGTTGAGCAGTTTTTTGAAACTGCAAAGTTAAGGTTGCTGAGTAAATAGTTTTGGTTTATGATTTGGTTAAGGCATTTGGTAAAGATTTTTGTTAAGTATTTTTTTATTAGCTCTATTAGAGAAATTAGTCATATTTGATTTAGAGTAAAATCTTAGAAAGAATTTTTTGAGATAAGAAAAATATTAGATGTTTTTCATTCTGTTAGAGTTTTTTATAAGTAAAAGCATTTAGAGAAGAATAAATAAATGATATTAAGACTTTTAGAGCTAAGTAATTTAATATATTCATAGTTGAGTTCGGAAGGATCTATAGCCTTTTTATTTGGTAGTTCTTAGATCATTTTAGTCTATTCATCAGATGTTATTTCTGAGAGAAGGTTTTATTAGAAGTGTTCATTTTCTGAATAAGGTTTGTATAGATCATAAAAAGGAGAGTTTGTATCTATTTGTATATATAGGAGTTCTTAGAAGTAATATTAGAAGTAGTTGTTAAGAGTTGTTATAATTTTAGAAGATTAAGTAGTTAAATTGTTGTTAGAAAGGATACGATCTAAGTTAATGCTATTCCTTAGTTTTTCATAAGTGTTTCAAAAGAATAGTTTAGGGTTTTGAGTAAAGTTGTTGTTTCTTTTTTGTAATTTGTTTTGAATTTCTGCTAAAGTTTGTTCTTTTGATTCTTTTTGAATTTGGGTTTTGAGATTGTTGATTTTACTTTTGAGAAAAAATAGAATAGTGTTGGAATTTGGGTTTGTATCTAAGAATTGTTAAAAGAATTTAGATAAGAGAGTATTATATGAATATTTATTTATATACGAGTTGTAGAGTTAAAAGATATTTGAGTCTGAAAAGGATTTTTTAATATTAATAATATTTTTGAGTTAGTTGAATAATGGAGATAGTATGGGTTTAAGGTGATCAAAAGGAGAAGTATTTGTTTTAATTTTTTTTATAAAGGATATGTTTAAAAGCTACTTTGTTAATTATTTTTTTAATTTGATTTTATATATTGTTTAGATTTTCTGTATTTGTTATTTTTAAAATTGGAGTTAGAAGATGGTTAAAACTTTGTTCTGTTTGGTGTTGATAAGCCTTTATTTAGTTAAGTAGTGTTTTGTTCTATATGAATAAAGTTCTTATTTTAAGTTGTCTCTATATAAGTATTATTTTTTTTATTGTTTTGAAACTAATTTATATACTATAAATTAAAAAAATAAAAGCTATATTAGACTTTTTTTTTTTTTTTTTTTTTGTTGTTAAAGATGACTTATATTGCTGAAGAAATGAAGATTATCTGGTAAAAATATGTCTATAAGATTAACGTTAAGAGAATTTATTGATATAATTGTTTAAAGTCGACTTTCTTGAAATAGGGAGGAAATATACCAAATGACATCAACATACCATCTGATAGTTTTAAAGACAACCTCAGTGCTTTAATATCCGAATACAGTCATGGTATTGTTATTTCCAATGGATAACAAATTAAAATTTATTTTTTAATCCTACTAACTTATCATTTTTAAATAAAAAAAGTCCCTAAACTTATATTTACATGCAGACACTCGCAGCAGCGAGGTCCGTCATGTGCAATTGCCTATGCTAACAAAGCAAATACCGATCAAGAAATTCACGTATTGAAAGGTGGAATTTCCGGATGGAGAAGAAAATATAATGATGATTCAGAATTGGTCGAAAATTTTGGAGAAGATTATGAATTTGATATGTAGTTCAAATATAGTAATAGGGATAATTTTATTTAGCCTTTAATTATCAAATAATATAAATCATAACGTGGTGTTCAATACCAATAATCCAAAATTTATTAGAGTTAGGACTGAAGTTAGATTTAGGGTTAGCGCAAGGTATAGCTTATACCAACATTTTTGTAAGGTATTTTTATGATTATATTGTATACAAAATTTTTAAATCATCTGCGATTTTTGATCCTTATATTATGCGGTGGTGTTGAACCTTAATTATTTATTAATATACCGAATGTATTTCCAGAAACATTCGAATTTTATATATTATTCTTTTTTTTTCAATTGAAAAAAAAGGCAAAATAAAAAAAAAACTACGGTACATAAAAACTACATAATAAAAAGTAAATCTTTGAATATTATTAACAGTTAAATACATGTTCTTTGATTGTACATATGTGTAAGAATTTTATTATTTCGGGTAATGTTTGATTATGTATTATAATATTGGTGATATTTTTGTCGTATGCATTTCTACTTTTTAACGACTCATCGTGTTTTTTTTTCACCATAATCTATGGTATTATGAAGGTATCGAGCGTAAAATTACAAGTTACACAGCAGTTTTTTTTCTTGTACCTTGAGCCATTTTTATAATCTCACCAATAGTTTCCGGAACATCTGCTTTTGAGCCGTCGATCATTTCTGAAGCTTCTTCTTTAAAAAACCAGTCACCCAAAATAAAACCACCCAAAACAACCAATAATACTAGTTCAGGTATAGCCTCAAATACATAAATCATCCACTCATATCTATTCATAGAATCCGTAGCCTGAGCAAAGGTAATAAATGTTCTATATACTAACTCGATTAACAGCAAAGCTCCGCTGGTGTATAACAACAGAACTTGTAGTTGCTGACTAATAGGTCTTCCAACATAAACCAACGAGAAATAAGTTACATAAACCATATATAATAATAAACATATTAAAAATCCTAAATTTGATATTGTACGTAAAACTTGGCCGCTTTCATCGCCTACGCTATTATTATCATTATTGTATTCTTGGATGATTTGGACTGCACCAAAAACCCCACAAACTGGCAATACAATTTTCGTCACGTTAACCAAAAGAAGTTCCAAAAATAATCTCGTTTTTCGATGTTTTGATAAATTTTCTAATACCGGTGATTTTGTAATTATACGAATCCAATCGGTGAGTAAAGTATATATCCCCATAATTATGAAAAATTCAAATCCACATAGAATAAATCCTGACACTAGGCCTAATTCATCGGAATTTACGTTAAGTGACCATGCAGAGCGAATGAAAAATACTATCGTGCGAGAACAACTAAATGTGAATAGGTATACATATATTTGTCGTCGATATTGTATTATCCGATATAAGTAAAGTATGGTTGTGAAGAAGAAAAATAATCCAAAAACTATAGAAGGAATAAGCGTTGGCATCGATGACGAGAACACTATTAGTGGGGATGACATGATTAATTTCTAAATTGTAAATAGATATTATTAAATTAGACTGTTTGATATATCAATTAATTTTTAATAGTATAATGACTTTACCTTTTTTTTTTTTTTTTGTTGTTGTTGTTGTTGTTAAAATATAGTTTTTAAAAAAATATTAACGTATAAAGAAATTATAACGCAAAATTTTAAGGAAGTATAACTTTTGACCAATAAACGAATAACCGTGTGGTTTAAGTTGATGTGGTCAAGAGTTGGAAAAAAAATGACTGTCCGAAATTTAATAACGATAAATAGTATTAAGTGCCAAGCACTGCCAAGAATTTATACTAAATGGCCTAATTGAGTGTTTGCACACAGATTATTTAGGGTATAAAATATGCACGCCAAGAACTAATACTCAATTCACGTGCAGTTCTTTAACGTTAACGTTATCATTAATTTTTATCTACAATAATTAAAAATCATTTAGTATGATAGGAATTTTCGTGGCGTTTACTATAATACGTCTAATACGTAAAATGATACTATTACATATATATATATAGTATTAGGCGTGTAGCCAATAATATATTTCATATTCTTATTACTGTATTAGCGTTAGTAATAATTTAATTACGCTATGTGACGTAATCACTATTAGTCGATATATATATATTTTACGATCTTTATTATACATAATTCATATTCTTCACACCTAATAAATATGCTAATGTTTTAATATAGTAAATACCTAGTTTAAAGGCTCTTGGCAAATTGAAAACAGTAATGCTACATCCATGTAGATTAAAATGTTATAATTGATTAGGATTAGTGAGTTTTCGCTAAGATTTTATAATATGCAGATAAAGACTTCTAATTTTTTCGGGATTGGTAACCTTTTATGTACGCACGTACGTAACGTACTGTGTATATCGAATAAACAATATTTAACAACATTCGTGGGAGTTCTTGTAAAGCCAATAAAAAGAAGTTCGCCAAGATATGTGTGATACACAACAAATATTATACTTTCATTACCTCTTTTTGGTTAACTTTTCGCGTATTATTTACGCGGAATTGACATTAACTCACTTTTGAAGACTATCAACTTATTACTTCTTAAAGAATTTTATTTATATAATTACACTGAAAATCTTGCTGTATTTCTCAACTTGAAATGCAACGAATTTTTATAGAAATATCAATTAGTATAAAGAAAATAGACCACTAAATTTATTTTAGAAAGCTACTCAAATTGTAGTTCTATAATTTGACTAATTAAATTTTAATATATAATAGTAAACTTTGAAAACTTAAAATTTTATTTTATTTTTAAAATTTTGAATAAGACTAATTTTTACTCGTAATAATATTATCTATATAATATTATAAATTTTTTTTATCTTTAGAGTTTAGAGTTAGGATTTGGACTATGTTAAAAATATTTATATATAAAATTAGATGCTAAAAACTTTTATCTAGAAGTTCAAAAGTAGTTTTCTTAATAAAATTTTGAGTTATTTACAAATTTTTAAAAAAATTTAATTTTTTTTTTTTTTTATTTAAGCAATCTTGTTTTTTCTTTTATTCAAAAATAATTTATTAAACTTGTTTGTGATAGCTTTCTAAAATTCTCTTGAAAGCTTTCTAGTTTTGTTTTTTAATTCTATATTAGTGCTTCTCATCATTTTTTTTCTTAATTATATTCATTTTGTCTTGTATATTGTTTAAACTATTCTTTTAACAAAAGCTTTTAGCAGAGTTTCTAGACTCATATTTTTTCATTCTAATATATATCATATGTTATTATTATTTATATAATATTCAATTCTATATTACAAACTTTATATATATCTTCTTTTATAAGAATGTCTGCTATGTTATTGAACAGGTTTTCTGAATAGCTTTGGATTTTAGTGAAGTTTAGTTGAATTAATTTGCTTTTGCATAATTTCTTTACTGCTCAAAAAATATTATTATTCTTAGATTTTAGCTATTTATATATTCTTTTATTTTGTAAGCAGTTTTTAATTAATGAGATTACATACTGTATATACTATCTATTCTTATTTCTACTTTATAATTACTTAATGCTAATAGTATTATAACTAAACAATAATAAATAATGAGTTTATTAGACAAACTCTTTCCAACAATCACTTTTACCAAAAATTTCATAAAAATAAACGCAACTTTTTATATAAAAAATTTTTTATTTTAAGTAAGATTTGT